ACATCAACTCTGGGAGGTGGGGGCTATTATCATCATCTCCATTTTAGAGCTGAGGAAACTGAGGCAGTTCGACAGGAAGTGCCTTGTCTCCAGAACCACACAACCACATTTGAACCCAGGTCTTCCCGTCCACTCTATCCTTGCTGTCATGGAGTCAAAGGTCATAGGCTTCCCTGAAGGTGAAACAGATTGGGGAGGGAATAAGGACGGATAATAGAAAAGGGGGGTTAAAGGTCGGAGGCTTTAAAAAGTCCGTGAGTGTGGGTTCAAGGCAGGTCACTGAGACTAAGATCAAGCCTCCTCGAACTCGCGGTTGGCGTGAAAGTTTAGGAGTTCTTGAACTCTGGGGGTGAAAGGTCCGGGATGACAGACACCTGACCCGCAAGGTCGGGGTTAAGTATGGGGTCAAACGGGTGCTGGGAGGTGGGGACCCAAAGGCTCTTCCTAAGGGTCAACCTAAGGGACACACCGTCCTGACAGGGATTCGGGGGGCTCCCATTTACCTTTCTCGGGACCAGGGCAGGAGCTGCCCTCGGGCCGCAGGGCTCTCCCGAGCCCTGCCGTCCCCCTGCTCAGCAGCGAAGCCCTCAGCCGAAGCACCGACATGCCGGCGGCCCTGGGGGCCCCCAGCGCAGCACGAGGATCAGCCACACCGCCCTCCCCGCGGCGAGCCCCTGACGGGACCGCTCTCCAACACGCAGGCGCGCGCGCTCCGCGCTGGCTGCTGGGAGTCGTGGTCTCCGTTTCCTCGGGGAAGTGCTACCCCAGGCACTCCGGGGTGCGGCACTTACACTACAAATCCCATAGAACCATGTGGAGGGCGGGGCGAGGCCGGAGGTTGCCGAGAATATGACTTCTGATTGGCTGTGCCGCCTATCCATCTCCCGCTCGAAGAGAGAGTTATGGAGTGGAGAAAAGTCTGTTTCCGAAGGCTGGCTTCCAGGCCTTTGGCGGTTTGCTAGTTCTCCCTACTTCCGGGGCGGGAATTCCACTCCCCAAGTGGTCTCCCCTGATTAAAACACGCTCCTTTCTCACAAGATTGTTCTGAAGACTAAATGAGTAAGTGCTTGAAGTTTCCATAAATGCCACCTCATGAATGCAAGCGAAGAGGGTTCTCTTGGTCATCCAGTCTTTCTAGGGAACTTTGGGTCTCTGCCCCCCACCAATCTTATGCTCTATTCCACTTGGCTGACATTCATGTTTATTACACTGAAATTTCCTTAAACAGGCGTTTTTTCACCTCTGTATACCTAGGGCTGAGCATAGAGCAGAGTAAGCACACAGTAGGTGCTTACTAAATGAAGGATGAGTGAGTGAGCCACAGTATCCCAGGTCCTTTTTGGTGGGGATAGAGATTGTTGTTGTTTATCCTTCATTCTCAAAAAGGATCATTACGTCAAGTGAATTGGATTACAGTGAGGGAGGGCTGTGCAAAATCACTAGCTTCGGGGCACCTAGGGGGGAGCAGTGGATAGAGCTCTGGCCTTGAAGTCAGGAGGACATGAGTTCAAATCCAGTCTCAAGACACATGACACTTACTAGCTTGTGACCCTGGGCAAGTCACTTAATCCCAATTGCCTCACCCCCCCCAAAAAAAAGAAATTGTTTAAAAATCACTAGCTTCACTTTTTCCTCCGGAGCCACCTGGGAACAGTAGCAAAACATAGATCAGGATGACTGGGGATGGGCCAGGATTCCCAGGGCACCATGGCCTTTTCAAGCTAGAGTCTTTTCCAGGTCTCATTTTGTCTGAGGCAACACCCATTCAGTGACTAAGGCTAGGTAAGAAATGAGGCAGAGAATGGCAGTCTTTATCTAGGTGAAAAAAAAAAATCCATCTGGGAGAGGAAGACCCTTAGGGTTTCTGGCCAAAACAGAAACAATTGCTATTTACATTCACTCTGAGCCAATCAGGGCCCAAACAATTACCAAGTCGGGCTTGGCCTGGGACCTATTGTTGGCCAATTCCTGAGAGCCAGAATGGTTTGGGGTTAAGGTGAGGTCTTTAAAGGAAAAAAAAAAACGGTTTCAGGGATCAAAATTTTCCTTTAGGCAGAGAATCTGCAGGTAACAGTATGATACCCTGTGTGAACCGAGGGAGGAGAGAGACAGAGAGAAACAGAGAGAAGGAAGGAAGATCAAGCTGTGTTGCCTTACTGGCCAGTTCCAGTTGGATCCCCAGGGGGACAGCTCCTATTTTCTACTCACTGAGTTGTTTGTCCTTCATTCTTGAAAAGGACCGTGACATTAGGGAGGTGATGCCATGACCTGCAAGTGAGTTGGATTTAAGTGAGGGACTGGGAGGGATAAAGAAGGATTCTATGATTATGAAAATGAAGCCCTCTACTGCCCAGAGGTCAGATAATGCAGGGTGGGTGAGGGGAGGAGAGGGAGGCAGGGAACTCCCTGAGGGGATAATAGGAGACTTAAACTAGTGACCAGTGTTTCCCCCAAGGCTATATGAGGCTGAGCTCCTACCTGCCTGGGCTTAGATATCCTGGCACATTACACAATAGCCTGAGGTCTTCCCCAGGTAGATTTATGTCAATATCTCTCCCCTACCCCTCCTTCCCCCTACTTTTTTCCTCTCCAAGAGGCGGCTCACCCTATTTTCCAGATGTGGAAACTGAGGCCCAGGGAGGGGCAGAAATAAGCCAGAGGAGAGTGGGGACCAGACCACAAGCCTCCTGGCTTTTAGCCCTAGGCTTTGCCTCTCATTCCACCGAGACTCACCCTCATTTCCATCTCTGGGTCTGGTACCAGACTATCTGAGCCTTGGGCACCAAAGCAGAGGTACCTTCCTGAGGTAACAAGAGCTGCTGAGACGCTCTCCTGCCATCCCACTCTGCCGGTTCGGCTACTCATGGGTGTCACCAAAGCTACTGCCAGGGTGTCACCCATGCCTTCACCTCTTTGCTATTTAAAGAGCCTCCCCCAGTGAGGGGGGAGGGGACAGCTCAGACCTTTCACCCTTCCCTGGCCACTCACCCCACCCAATGTCCCTGTGTGAATCAGAGACTTATAGGCAATTGATGCCTGCATACAGGGAGTTTAGAAACCATCTAAGTCTGATCCTTAAATTTTACAAAGGGGGAAACTGAGGTCTAGAGAATGGCCATACTGGAAGATGCAGAATTAGGATTCAGACCTGATGCCTCTTATCCCAAATCCAGGGCTCTTTCCATTATGCAACACTGCTATATCATCTTCTAACCTAACGACTCCCACCCATTTATAAACAATTAAAAAATGAGGCCAAGAGAGAAGGAACTTGACCAAAGTCCCATAGCCCCCCACTGCTACACTCCCAAGTAGCCTGCCCTTCTGTGATCTTGAGTAAGCCCCAATCCCACCCTCTTCCAGGATCTGGACCTATGAAAATACCGCAGATATCACCTAGTCCATTTTATAAATGAGGAAACTGAGGCCAGAGAACAGAAGAAACTCTCCTAAGGTCACAGAAAGCTGCAGACCCATCTGTGAGATAAGAAAGTCTAGAAAGCCCAGACCTGAAAACCCTGGAGAGCTGGGTTCTAGCTTTCACTCTGCCACTGACCCTCTTATGGGACCCTGGCCAGGACCCCTTCTTTTTCAGTCCTCGGCTTCTCCCCTCTGCAAAATGAGTCTCAGCACTCTGAGGATCTCCTGGACTCCAGCCCAAGCGGACAAGCAGATGGGAGATCCCTCCTTCTAGTCACTGATGTATCTCACACACACACACGTACACACGTGTGACTTGCGTTCCTGACAGATTCAGCCTTTGACACATATGGCCCAACAGACAGACAGACAGACATACACATCCCCACCCCTGCCACAGGATCACATTACGCCTACATAACTGCTAATCTGCCACATCTGCTGCTGGGCACACGCACACAAACACAAACACACCCCCACACACACAAAAATACACAAACATGGCATAGTCAGAGACACCCACGCTAACAGAAGTCCACTTGCCTGCATTGTGACCCTGATGGCCTTGGGGGTCTCTCTCTCCCTTATCTGTCTCTCTTCCTCTCTCTCCCCTCCCCTCCTCTCCCCCTCTTTTCTCTCCCCCTCTCTCTCCCCTCTGTCTCCTCCTCTCCTCTCTGTCTCCTCCTCTGCCCCCTCCTTTTCCTTCTCCTCCTTGTCCCTCTCTTCCTCTCTCTCTGCCTGTCTCCTCTCACCTCTCTCGCTCTCTCTTGCTTTGTACCTGTGCCTGTTTTAGTCCCTTTCTCAATCCGTTCCCGTCTGTACCTGCTTCTGACTTAATTCTGTCCCTCTCTCTGTCTCTCTGAATCTCCCGGTCTCGCTCTCTCATTCTCGCACGCTCTCATCTACGCTCCGCCCCCCTCCCCCCCTTCACTAAGACCCTCAGGGCAGAAACACAGGCCAGTAAAGCCCAAAGAATTTTGTGAATGAGCCCCCACCCCGGACTCTAGCCGGGCAGGGCCGGCCCCCTTCCCCTCCATTCGTTCAGTGGGGGAAGCCCCGCCCTAGTGGGAGGGACTAGTTTGAATCAAGCCTCCGAGATTACCAGCCTCCGGTAGAAGCCCGTGGACCCTGGAGCCAGAGTCACCTGTCCGAGGGGACAGCAAAATCCAGGGAACCAGACACACTCCTCTCTCCTTGCAGCTGCTTGGGACAAGGGGACTCTAGTGGTATCTTCCTGGAAACATCTGTCCAGACTTTCTGAGCCAGAAGGTACCTCCTGGAGTGTCCAACCTGCCCATTTCACAGAGGAGGAAACTGAGGCCCAGAGATAGAGAAGTGACTTGCCTATGGTCGCACAGTGAGTCGGGAGTAGAACACAAGCTGTCTGGATGTGAAGTCTTTAGGGGACCAGGGCCAGGGAGGAGTGTGAGAGTCTGAAGTAAGGCTACCCAGGGCCTGATCTCCATCCTGTCTTGAACTGGACACCCTCCCCAACTGGCTGGGACATGGAGCATCAGCGAAGGTCATCCAGGTCCTGTGGCCTGGTCAGCGAGCAAGAGTGAGCCAACCACCTCTCTACCATGCCCCCGGGGCCCTGGCTTTGCTTGGCCTTGCTCCTTGCAGCCCGGGCCCAGAGCTCCTGGGGTCCCTGGCCCAGCAGGGCCCAGCCCCTGTGGCCCAGTGACCTCAGCATTAGCATCAGCAGTGCCCGTCACGCTCGGAGCTACCATCACCTGGAAGGTGACGTCCGATGGCGAAGGCTCTACTCATCCACCCACTTCTTCTTGCACATTGGGCCCAGTGGCAGGGTCGAAGGCACACGGCAGCCCCACTGCCCCAACAGTGAGTAGGGCAGCCTGGAGACAGAGGCCTGGCCTGGATGGGGTAGCCAGTCCCAAATTACAGGGGGGCCAGAGGTTTCCAGGGGTGTTAGAGAGTCCTAGAAAAGGATGAATAAGAGGGACCCAGTCCAGAATGGAAGAGAGAACTGGAGGAAGGGACCCAAGGAAATGTCAGTGTTTGGCCTGAGGAAGGGGGTGGGGGGCCCCACCAAGAGCAGGACCACAGAAGCCCTGGAGGGCAGCCATTAGATAGCCTAAGTCAAAGGATGGAGATGCTTTTTATCTAAGTCATTAGTGGGTAGGTGCCTTCCATCATCATACATATTTTAGGCTGCCCAATCTAGAAGGAGACCTTTTTATGGAGAAGGAAACTGAGGCTGAGAAGAGAAAGAATTTATCCAAGGTTAAACAGACAACTGTGGGCTAGAACTCCACTCTCCTGGAGCCCAGTCTTTGCCTGTCCCCATGGGGCAGAGGGGGGCAAGGTGTCCTTGTTGCCATCCTGACCTTATCTGTAGACCTCGGAGGGCAGAAGGACCGGTCCCTGAAGTGTGAACTGGAGAGAGAAAGGAGGAGGCCCTTAAGGCCTCAACTGTCTTTGGGATGGATAGGGGAGGGAGAGACACTCACAGCCAATAGTCCTAGATTGGGGGATCTGAGTAGCCCCAACACTGGACTCCAGGCTAATCACCTGCTGCTGTGTTTAATGAGAACCCAGTGAGTAATCACCATAATTAAGGAGGATAATAACCCTCTGCCCTTCCCTAGCCCCTTTCATCTGGGGATCTCAAAGCACTCATTAGCCCATGTGCCTCCCTGGGTGAGGACAGAGGACAGGGGCAAGTTGCTCACTCGATGACTCAGTGGTGGGCTCAGTGGCTGGCACCCAAGCATCTGGCTTCCCTTGGATGGAGGAGAGAGAAAGGTTCCTTTCACAATCAACATTCTGAGATGTCCCTTCCTAGGGATTTTGGGGGCCATGGGGACTAGAGTCCTGGGCCCTTCCATGCACTGTTGGGTGTATCTGGCATCAGTGCTTTGAACATCTGGACTCCAACCTGACCCAAGGATGTCCACCTCTTCCCCACCTCTGGCTCCACCTACCCTAGGACACATCTAGATGGAGAGTAGTTCTCTTCTGGCTGGACTATCCCACAACCACCCCCTAGCCATGTTACTGCTGGTCAGCTCTGACTAGAAGGGAAGCTCGCTGCACCATAAAGTCCACCCTGCAGCCTTAGGCTCCTTGCCCCATTAACCATGTCTGCCCCCCTCCTAAGGTGATACAGCATCAACAGAAGCAAAACTTCCCCAGTGAGAGACAAGGACAGACACTGCTCAGGACCCATCTAGGGTACTCTGCTAAGTTCTGGGGACCCTTTTTAGGGAGGACAGTGGAGGGTACCCAGAGGAAAGCGACCAGGAAGGGGGCAGTACCATAGAAGGAACTGGGAATTTCTGTCCGGGAAAAGAGAAGACGGGGGGACAGAGGAAGCCATCATTTGGTGGCCCTCTTCAAGTCTGAGATCACAGGTCATGAGGAAAGGGTTAGGCCTTCTCCTGCTTGGCCCTAGAGGGCACTGTATATTAGGGAGGGAGTCATTGACAGGCAAACTTCAGCTCAACTCTCTAATAATCAGTTATCTAAAAGGGGAATTCTCTAGTAAAGTAGGGAGTTCCCTCTCACTATAGGTCTTCAGCTGGAGGCTCAATGATCACTGGTCACAGATGTTGTGGAGGGGGCTTCTGCGCAGGTGTAAGGAGGACATGATGCCCTCTGAACTTCCACTTGCCCATGAGGTTAGATGGGTCTTCATATTTATATATATATTTTTTGGTTACACAGTGGGGTTAAGTGCCTTGCCCAGGGTCACACAGCTAGTAAGTATCAAGTGTCTGAAGGCAGATTTGAACTCAGGCCCTCCTGACTCCAGTGCCGGTGCTGATGGGGTTGTGGAAGGGGATGGAAGCTGGTCAGGAAGCTCCAACCCCAGCTTAGGCCTCAAGGAGCCTCAGAGGCTGCCCCGTCTAGCCATAGCTACCAATCCCCATCCCTTCCTCTCCAGATACAGCAAAGAGTGCCTGTATACATGAGTATGGAGGGGGTGATAAAGGATGGGTTCAGACTTGGGAGTTGGTACCCTGCACCCTCTGGGAAATAGAGGAAGGAGGCCAGAGGCAGCCAGAGGTGGACTGTGCTTTCTGCTTCCTCAGCATGGGAGGCCTTGGGAACCAAAGCTCTGTCCTGCCGCAAGTCTCCAGTTACCTCCAGGGGAGAGTAGGCCTCGGCCACAAGGTATAAGGTATGAATACAGAAAACCAATGTGGGCAGCAGGACAAGCTAGGGGCTGGTGAATGTTGTTCCAGTCCTGCCCCTGGCAGACTGTGGGCCAGTTCCTTCACTTTGCCCCTTCACTTCATCTGCTGTAAGGTGAGGAAATGGTAGAGATATTCTCTACGGGCCTTGTCATTTCTAATAATCTGTGAAGTTCTATAAACTTTTCCTGATAACAGGCTCCATTTCCTCTTCCTGGGAAGGGAGCGAGGGCAAAGAGGACACTTTAGTATCAGCAGAACTGAGCGACAAAGTCATTGGTGTCTCGATACCACAGGGTGGGGCTGGGTGTGTATGAGACAGAGATGGAGAGAGAGAGATCTCAGCAGGAATGGAGGGAGGGTCCCTAGAGGAAAGTCCTCTTCCCCAAAGAAACTCAGAATTTCAGAGCTGATGATAGGGATGGCTCATGGCTTTAGAGGTGGAAAGGAGCTTAGAGATATCATCCGGTCCGATCTCATTTTACAGATAGGGAACTGAGGCCTAAAGAAATGAAATCTCTAGCTAGTGAGTGCATGAACCAGGTCTAACTCTAAACCCAGGGCCCTTTTCAACAGTGCATCAGAGTGGGAAAGTTCCTTAGAGACAAGCCAGTCCCCACTTCTCATCTCACAGACACAAAATCCAAAGACCAGGGTCTGAATCCTCACCCCACACTTAACCAGGTGAGTTTGGGCAAATGAACTTGACAGAAAAATGCAAGGTATTTCAGGGGACTGTGAAGTGAGGCCAGTGTGACTGAAGCAAAGGGTCTGTGTATAAAAACTCTACAGGGGAATAGAGAAAAAAAAAAGATGGATTAGGGACCAGTCTTGGAAGACCTAAAATTTCCCACTTTGGACTTTCTCCTGTGGGATATGGAGTCTCTGGGGAGATGCCTGGGAGCTTTAGGAAGACAACTTTGGTGTATTGCACTAAAGAGATGCAACAGCAAGAGAGAAGAGTTAGGGAAACAAAAAAGTCCAGGCCAAAGGGGACTTGGGTCTGAAATAGGATTTGAGTGACTTTGAGGAATCTTCTATTAGAGATTTCCTTGGCCCTGGTCCTAGACAGTCATCTATGTCCTAAGCGTCTGCCATTGCCCACAAGGGCAATCAGATCACTGGATGGGGATGGCTCAAAGCAGGCCTTTCCTACTGCTGCTGGTGGTGGCTGCTATCTTCTGATGGGGGCGGGGCCGGGCAGATTTATGTCATTGCTAAAAGAGTCAGGAGACCCAAGTTTCAGTCTTGACTCTTTCTCCTCCCTGGCCTCAGTTTCTCCATCTCTGACGTGAAGAGGTTGGACATGATGGCCTCTAAGACTCCTTACAGATCTGATGCTCTCTTAAGGAATGGACAGGCTACCACGTGCCCAAGGGGTCTCTACCCCCCACGGTACCGACTCCATTCTCCCTTCATCCCCTCTCTCTGCTGAGATGGAAGACAGATTCTCTGGACCTGAGATAGGCGGCTGACGAGGTAGTGAGATAGAGCAAATAGAGGACAGAATTTGGAGTCAGGAATTCCTGGGTTCTAATGCTGCCTCAGATTCCTGCTAGCTGTGGGATCCTGAGTAAGTCATTTAAGCTTTGGGCACCAGTTTCCTCATCTGCAAAATGAGGGGGTTGGACTCAATGACCCCCCCACTCCCCAGACACACATACAACGTCCCTTTTAGCCCTAAATCTATGATTCTGTGTTAGATTTTGCCTAGCTGAATAAGCAGGGCTCCCCTGGTAGCTTTTGGGTCCGAAGCCAGCCCTGAAGGTGTGTTGATGCACACATGTGGAGGGAAGCCTCAGTTTGCAAAAGCTAAGGACTGACCCCATTCTACAGCCTGGCAACACTGTTGAGCCTTGGGGATTGCCTGCCAGGGAGGTGGGAGATAAGGTTGGATAAGTAGACAGATGGAAGGTTATACAAGGCCTTGAATGCCAGTCTGACAAGTTGGAACTTTTTCCTGTTGGTAATGGGGAGCCATAGAAAATGTTTGAACTGAGAAGAGCTAGAGAATCACAAAACACTAACTATTATCTGGAAAGGACTTCCAAATATAGAATAGAAATTGCCATCACACAAAGAGCCCTTAGAACACAGACAGAGCTGGGAGGGTCCTGAGAACACAGGTTGTCAGAGATGGGAGGACCCTAAGAACATAGACTGTTAGGGCTGGGAGGACCCTTAGAACGTGGAATGGCAGGGCTGAGAGGACCCTTAGAACATGGAATGGCAGGGCTGGGAGGGTCCTTAGGACAGAATGGCAAAACTGGGAAAGACCTTAGAATATGGAGTATCAGAGCTAGAAGGTACTTAAGGGATTGTATAATAATTACAGTAGAAGTAATAATAATAGCATTTCTATAGCGCTTACCATATACCAGGCACTGTGCTAAGCACTTTACAATTATTATTCCATTTGATTTCACCACAACTCTGGGAGATAGGTACTATTATGATCTCCATTTTACAGTTGAGGAAACAGACATTAAGTGATTTGTCCAAGGTCATACAAGTGCCTGAGGCTGAATTGGAACTCAGGGCACTCCATCCACTGTACCACCTAGCTGCTTCAACGTAATTTAACAGAACCCCCTTATTTGACAGATGAGAAAACTAAGGCCCATAGAGAGAAAGGGACTTTCTCAAGGTTACAGAATAAATTAATTGTATAGCCAAGATTAGAACATAGGTCTCTGAATCCCCAGTCTGGGGCTCTTCCTGCCCAATTTAAACGACTTTCCTATCAGGATAAAAAAACCTCAGGATGGTTCAATCAAGTTCCTGTGCATCTGATTGGAAGGTTGCCAAGTAGAGGAGCTGGGCAATAGGAAATAAGGTCAAGTATGAGGTCACTCCCCTCACCCCTCAGATCCCCCCTTACTCCTAGCTACCCCCTCCCCATGTCAGATAGACTCTGCCAGTTCCCCTGCCCCCAAGCTGGCTTCTGTGGTGCTCCCTCCACATTCCAGCTTGCTCCCACGCCCTGGGTCCGGCTGTCCGGCCCTGCTGGCCTGCCCACATTCCTGTGGGAGTTGGGCTCTCCCAGAACCTGCCCTATGGGCTGCTAGCCTCAGCCTCCTCCCTGCATCTTACCCCAGCCCACGAGCCTAGCTATGGGACAAGGAAGATGAAAAGGTCCCTGGAGGGAGATGGCCAGTGATCTGTGGTACCCACAACCCTTCCCCGCCTCCCCAGCACTGTGAACGATAGACTGATGAGACAGTCTTCCTGGTCAGCAGGATGCAGACACCCATGGTCCATCCATCAGGAAATGGCTCATTCCTCTTTTACTAGGATTATAATTAAATAACAGCAATTCCCATTTCAATCCCCTTTTAAGGTTTACAAAGTGCTTTTCTCATAAGGGCTCCATAAGGGAGGTGATGCATTATTATTCCCGTTTTAGAGATGACTTACCCACTGAGCTGGTTAGTGACAGGGCAGGGATTTGGGTTCCTGGCTTCAGCTCTGAGGCTCTTCAGCCATGTTGATGGAGCATTTCAACATTTACAAAGATTAACAGCTCACATTTGGATGGTGGGTGTTTCAGTTCATACAACAGCCCCAGGAAGAGTGAAGACCGTGTATTCTTGCCCACACTTTAAGACCACCCAGGTATCACCAGCAGAGCTGAGACCTAGACTCAGACCCCTATCTCTCAGTTGCTGACCTGGGTGTGAAAATGCCACCGGCTGCCCACGGTCCACCCCAGTGTCTTTTTTCCTCAGGCATTGTGGAGATCCGTTCCGTCAGAGTGGGTGTTGTGGCCATAAAAGCAGTCTACACAGGCTTCTACTTGGCCATGAATCGGAGGGGGAAACTTTATGGGACGGTGAGTATTCACCTGGGGAGGCAGAAGGAAGGGGGGCACGCTACCGTTGAGAACATTTCTGGAAGGAACCTCGCTGGGCAGGGCACCAGGGTAAACAGAAGTCTCACTATGCTTCTTGGGTGTGGAGCCCCTGGGAAGATGGAGATTTGGGTGCTAGTGCTGATACCGCCCCTGATTCCTGTGTGACCCTGGTCGTGTCCCTCTCTGGAATTCTGAGGGGCCCTTTAGGGCCTTTGCCCCGATCCTGTCTTTCTCTTCCGCAGAAGGAATACAGCCCCAACTGCAAGTTCATGGAACGGATTGAGGAGAATGGCTATAACACCTATGCTTCCCTTCGCTGGAGACATGAAGGCCGACAGATGTTTCTGGCCCTGGATGGACGGGGTGCCCCTCGCCAAGGTGGCCGGACCCGCCGGCAGCACCTCTCCACTCACTTCCTGCCCATCTTGGTCTCCTGAGCCTGAAGAAAAGACCACCATGTATAGATATACATATGTATTTTTTCCTCTATTTATTATTTTTTAAAAGACAAGCAAAGGAAAGAAAGATACCTTCCTTTGGAAGACCTGGAAAAAAGGCCTGGAACCTTCTGGGGAGCCCCCAAGCCAGCAACTGCAGAATATAGAGGCCCTGAAGTTTCTGGGATGCTCAGCCCCCAGAGAAGGGGTGGTCATTGCTAGTTCCAGGCCTCTGAAAAGACCACGTATTCATCAAGGATCAGTACAGCTGTATTAACTTGAATTTCTACAATGCCTTATGGCTTACAAAATATTTTCCTCACAACAGACCTATGAAATAGGGAGGGCAAGTGAAATTGTTCCCATTTTACAGATGACCAGAAAAAGAGAAGTGAATTGCTTAGGCTTATACAACTAATCAATGGCTGAGTCAGAACTTAAACGAACCCCAATCTCATGACTTCGAGCTCACTGTCTTCCCCTGTGCATTGTGGTGTAACCCAGTGGCATTGGGTCCCCACTTTCCTTGGGAGAGAAGAGGGTAGGGCTCAGGATCCAGAGGAGATATCTGCTATACTCCAAGGGGGCTCTGAGCTTCAGAGTAAGCAGTGTGGTAACACTATTGGGTGGGAAGCCCAGCTTTGCCTTTAACTCACAAATGGAGCTGTGACCTTCCCCACTGTGGGCCTCAGTTTCCCAATCTGTATAGTGAGAGATGTTGGACTCAGTGGTTTTTAGCATTCTTTGTATTATGAGCCATTAACACTCTATATTGTGTGTTCTAAAAGACCTTCCAACTCTGACCTTCTTTGTTCCACTGGCCTTCTGGTTCAGATATTCCATATCCTTTGTTTTCTGGCCCCTTCTGACTCTGACCTTCTATGAACATCCCATGTGTCTGTAAACTCTCGTTCTGACCTAGGTTCTAAGGTCCCCTCCAGCTCTGATGTTCTATGCTGTATGTTCTAAGGAAAGACAGTAATAAGGGCAAGCCCATTACATGAAAATCCAGATTCATAAATGATAATTAGGACATAAAGCTTTATAAAAAAGATTTTTTTTTTTTGCTTTTTTTGGTGAGGCAGTCGGGGTTAAATGACTTGCCATGGGTCACACAGCTAGTAAATGTTAAGTGTCTGAGGCTAGATTTGAACTCAGGTCCTCCTGACTCCAAGGCCAGAGCTCTGTTCACTGTGCCATCTAGCTGCCCCCATAAAAAGATCTTTGGAAGAGGGAACTTCCTTGGGGAATTTAAAATAGGACTGAATTTATAGAAATTCATTTTCCTCTCTACCTTACCAGGTATCTGCCAAAAAATAAGCCCAACCTCTTTCATTTCTAGATGGCCAGGGGCCAGGCTAGACCTGGAATAGGGCAATAGTATGCTGATAAAGCTTTAACAACCAGGATTTCTGGAGAAAAAGAAAAAGGTATGCAGGCCACACTTAAGTTTAGTCTGCATTATTAACATTGTCTCCATCACTTTCTTAAGTCTAGACAATCAGCAAAACAATAAATCGTGTGCTGATCTATAGCAGTTGCCAATTTCTAAGGTATAAATAAATATTCACAATAAAAATTTAACAATCAGGTCTTGAGAGCTAGTTAGAACTAGCTTTAACATACCTCTGGCTGGATTTGACCCAAAGTGCATCTGAGAACTGGGTGCCTCCTAGCTTCCTCTCCATCATGACAGGCCCCAGGAGAAGGCTGGGCTCAGGCGAGAAGACAGGTTGGCCCTAAGGCTAGACACATAGTGACTATCTATCCCTCCCTGGGAAAATGCTTATGCTTTTTCCTCTGAAATTCCTCTATTTCCCTACCATAATGTTACTGAAATTTGGAAAGGACAAATAGGAAAAAGAATGTCAGAGCAAGAAAGGTCCTTAGCTGCACTAAACGCTCTTCACCTTGCAGACTGGTGCCATTCAAATACAAGAAGTATTACTCCCTGCAGAACATCTTCTCAAAGGGAGTTTGCCACTGTCAAGTCTTCAGATAAGTAAGAATGACCTTCTATTTGTGAGCTTAGCAAAGTGGTTATCCCTTCCGTTTTCATAGGCTTGCATCACCCTGATGAGGAAGACGGGACATGGATTATTACTTCTGTTGTACAGATATGTAAGCTGAGGACTCAGAGCAGGGAAGGGACTTACTTAAGGAGTCACACATTTAGTGTAGGTAGTAGAAGATTCAGTACCATAACTAAGGGGCTAGTCTTATTTCCTAAAAAGAGGCAACTCAAGAGTTAGAATTGGGTCCTGGTCCTGTTTCCATCACTTACTTGTTGTAACCTTCAGCATGCCATTTTCTCTTTTCAGTGCCTCAATTTCTTCCTCCATTAAGGAATGTGTGTGTGAAATAATACCAGCACAGCCAGCCTCACCTGGTTGTTGTGAGCTTTCTAAAGCGCTAATGAAAGATACATGGGTGGCTATTATAAATTCATGGCTTTTTCTACTACTCTGCTATGATGTCACTGAAACTTGGGAGGGACAGATAGGAAAAAGAATGTCAGACCAAGAGATCCTGTTGTCTGGCCCTCTCATTTTATAGTGGAAGAAACTAAGGTCCACAGAGGTCACACAGTGAACTAGTGCAGACTCAGTTCCCAGTCCGGGGCTCTTTTCATCCAGTAGACTGCTTGCTTCTCATATCTGGGTGAAACCACAGGGTTTTATTCAGTTCAATTTCAACAAACACTTATTAAGCACTGCCTGTGTGCAAATGGAGGCTCAGTACAGGGGATACAAAGCAAAAACCAAAACAACCTTTTCTCAAAGAACTTACATTCTTTGCCTGTCCAAATGAAGGGAACTGGAAAGCAGGAGAACCCAAGCGATAATTTTGTTTCCTCTTTACCTGTTGTTATTCCCTTAATTTCTTTATATCGTTTCATTGCTATTGTAAGCATTTCTGGCACTATATCAAATAAGTTACTTGAAGTAAAGGATGATAGTGGACATCCTTGCTTTACCCCTAATCTTATTGGAAAGGCTTCCAGTTTATCCCCACTACATCTAATGCTTGGTTTCTGACAGATAACTTATATTAAGGAAAGGTCCATTTAGCCCTATGTTTTCTAGTGTTTTTAACAGGAATGGATATAAATAAGAACAAGGTTGGAGTGAGGTCCCCACTCCTCCACACCTTCATCTCTCCCTCCTTATCATCTTTCAGCTACCTCTACCCAGGCCCACAATCCTATCACATCACTCTCCTAGCAGGGAGGGAGGATTTTGAGTCTAGGCCACATATTACCTCAGTTCTGAATTCAAACTCTGTCCTCCTCTCTTCAAGGGAGAAGCCAAGGGAATTTTTTCTCTACTCTGTCCAAAAGGAAACACCCCATATTAAGACTAGGGCACATACTTGGGTACCTGGGGCCTGAATCACCAAGAAGCCAAGGCCCTTCCCAGGGAGAGAATGGCAGGATGTGGCAAGAGCCCAGTAGGAACCATTCTCTGAAACAGCAGATCTGTCTGGCATTTGGTACTCAAGCACAAAAGAAAAAAAAAAAGAGAGAGACTCATTTCCATTAGATTGTAAGCTCTTTGAGGGCAGGGATTGTCTTTTGCCTCTTTTTTGTATCTCCAACACTTAGCACAGTGCCTGGCACATAGTAGATGCTTAATAAATGTTTACTGATTAATTGATTGATTCCTAATTCTAGGCAGCCCAATGCAGATAGGGGTGTTAGCTATGGAAACCAGATTGGGAAATGGACTGAATTTGAGTACCCCAGAATCATGTACAAGTGGTCTCAATGGTCAGAAAACTTTCTTTGACATTGACTACTGGAAGGTTCTCATGCCACCTCAATCACAGGCTTTTTGAAGGCTGAACTCCTAGGGCTCAAATGTTCTCCCATAGGGAATAAGGAGATAGAAGGCTTCCCAGTTAATTAAGTTAATTAAAAAAATACCAGGCATTGAGGAAAGACATCTCGCTCTGATGGACCTCTGAGTCCTTGGGCTCAAAGGTTCCATTGTGAGCTGAGGCAGAGGGGAGAAAATTGACCTGAGGCAAAGAACCCCTTGGATAGTGAAGAAGGCTGAAGACCTAAAGCCAATCTTACATGAGGGTCATCTTCATCCTGAAACACATCTTTCTGCTGCTTCTATTATTTCTACCTCTAGTAATGAAAGCATAGCACTGGCCTATTAATGTGGGGACAAGGTGGTAACAGTGAGCAGGGACCTGTCACAGGTACTGGGTTAGTCTTGGAGCTGCTGAATGAGCTGCATGACGCTGGGCAAGTCAATCCTGATCTCTCAGCCTCAGTTTCCTCATTTATAAAAAGAGGATAGCTGCAGGTAGCAGATACGGTGCTGGACTTGGGCATTAGGAAGCCCTGGGTACAAATCTCACTTCTCTCACTTTGTAGTTGTTTAACCAACTCACTTTACCTCTTTTCTCAAAATGGGGATAAAATCTATAGTAACCAGAGGGAAGAACATGGCTAGAACACTGGACTTCGGAGTCAGGAAAACATGAAATCAAATTCTGCCTCACTTGCTTAGCTGTGTGACTCTAGGCAAGTCACTTAAACACTCAGCCTTAGATTCCTCATCTGTAAAATGGGCAACAATGGGGCATCTACCTCCCAAAGTTGTCATAAAACTCTAATGAGATAATGTACGTGAAGCTCTTTGCAAACCTTAAAGCACCATGTAAAGTCCTATTATTCTGTTATATCAAGCCTTTTAAAATAGATGGCTCCACCTCAGATCCATATTTGGATAGTAGAGTATAAAAAAAAAATCTGTGAAAAATCAGAAAATGCAGAGAACTGCCCAAAATTATTCTGGGGGGGGGGGGAATAGCTCCTGATAAGAAATAATTAAGTAAAGTGAGATTGTTCAGCCCAGAAAAGGTTGAGGGAGAATGTGAAGGTTTGCTGGGAGCAGCTGTATTACATATTTAGGGATAATCAAAGAGGAGGTTAGCACAGGCCTGGCATACAGTAGGTGCTACGTAAATGCACCATAAATTGCTTA